TCCTCCCAGGGAGCTTGGTCTCTGGCCAGAAGCGTAACTAGAAACCTCAGGGCCCCAGTGCAAGAAACCATTAAAGCCCCCCCTCCCCCCCTAAAAAAACATGATTTTGATACCCTTTTTTTTTCTTTCTATTAAATAATAATTATGTATGTTATGACTTCCAGAGCTAGTTCACACCAGCCCCAGTGTGTTCCAGCCCGGTTTGGTGCTGGAACACAATGGATCGCGGCCAGCACACTGAGTTCTGGGGTGGGAGGGGGCGTGGCTACAGATTCTTCCCCATCCCTCTGTCTGAACTGCGATCCGCAAGTGTCAAAAACACCGCGGGCAGCATGAGGCAGCTGCGTGTGGTGGGCCCTCTTCTTTCTCTCTGGGCTCCCCCCAAATGGCCGAACACCAGGGCCCGGTTGCAAATGCGACCGCTGCAACCCTGTTAATTTTGCCTGTGCTTCGTATCGGAGCATTTTCACAAGTACGTGTGAAAAAACCCAGTGTTGTCACTGGTGCATGCCAACTTAATGGTATAATGTATTGCTGGGACTTGTAGTCCTGCATAGTTGGTGCTATTCTGCATTGCTGTATAATGATTATAAAGCAATGCAGAATACCACCAGCTATGCAGGACTACAAGTCCCAGCAATACATAGTGGCTCATTAAGCAGTGCTGCCTGTCAGTAATGTCTCTGGGAGGAGACAGGTTCAGTGAGGGGGAGCAGTGAGACTTTCCTGGAGTGTTCCTCCTTGCTCGAACGCCGGGCAATTGAATATTCGCGGCTTAAACCGTGGAGGTGGGAGGAGCCAGATGATGGCGCAGGAGTGAGTCGCTTCCCTGCGCCGAACACAGACCGAAGGACAGGTGAGTATATCACAGAAGACCACCTACAGCTACAGCATGAAAATAATTGATAGAGAGGAATAATTGTTAGAATAAGGTTACCAGATTTTTAAAATGAATTCCAGGGACACCCTACTGAGCATGCCTACTTGTAACCACATTCATGAAACCACACCCCCATATGTAGCCACACCCACAAAATCATACCCCCTTTTTAGCATGCCCTGAAACAAGTGTTCACAGACTTCTGGAAGAGGAAGAAGACAGGGAAGATATAAGGATAAAGTGCCCTGGGCACTGTAAGGAGTAAAATAATGCGTGCAGTCAAATTGCGCTAACAGTGGGAGCGTCTGAAGATGCATGGTTAAATAAACTCTGAGCCTACTCTACTATGAATGTGAATGAATGTTAAGATTGTGTGACGCACAGAGTGCAGGGCTCAGGCGTGTGTAACGCAGAACACAGGGATCAAGAGTGCATGGAGCAGAGAGCAGGAGTATATAACATACAAAGTGCAGGGGTCAGGAGTAGGTAACATATGGAATAAAGAGGTCAGGAGCAAGAAACACATGGAACGCTATGCGGCGGGCATGAGCGGGGCTGGATGGGATGTTTAAAAACGCCCACCCGCATTCAAGAAGGCGCTGTCCAGCCGTTTAATTACAGCGGCCAGACAGCAGGTGGTTAAAAGCATGTTTTGTGTTTGTAAACAAAACAAGTAGAGTCCTGTCCTATATTAAGAAGGGAATGTAATGCAGAGACAACTTTATAATTGTGCCACTTTACAGATCACTGGTTTGGCCTCATCTGGAGTATGCGGTCCAGTTTTGGTCACCAGTCCACAGAAAGGATGTCCTTGAGCTTGAAAGAGTCCAGCGGAGGGCAACCAAACTCATTAAGGGGATGGAGGACCAAAGCTATGAGACAAGGCTACTAAATTTAAATATGTTCACGTTGGAAGTAAGGAGATTAAGGGGGGACATGATTTTCATGTACAAAATGTTCAATGCTGATAGCAACATTGGCAACAAACTCTTTACGATTAACTCCACAACAAAGACTAGAGGCCACCATCTAAAATTGAGGGAGAAAAAATGTCAGCACAAGGGGACGAAGGGGGTTTATCTCAGTTAGAGCGGTTAGGGTCTGGAACTCGCTGCCACATGCAGTGATTTCAGCTAAGAGTGTGGAATCATTCAAAAAGCTTTTGGACGATTTCCTTAGGGACCGTAATATACAGGGGTACAGGTACTCTTAAGAACAAGATCACACAGGGACTCATACACACGCACACACCCGCAGAACCATATACATACATGCAATAGGTTGGACTTGATGGACTTATGTCTTTATTCAACCTCAAATACTATTTAACTATGTGTCATACACAAATTTAAATGTGCAATGCTATAAATGTTGTGTCATGTCTAATAATGTTTTATTGTAGGTTAGCCTTCACTGTCACTTTCTCTGCTGTGTTCTAGGTACCCCAATCCAACATCGTGTCTACAGATGGCCGGGTCAGGGTTTTGTCTTGATCCTTGAGAGCAGAGGACACACCTAGATGTTATAAGAGTTTGTACCCTAGGATTTGATCTGGTTGCTGCAGAGTAATAGACATCAGGTAGTTTGTAGGTACACAATCAAGCTTGTAATTATTAGGAGTTATAGAATGCATAACATGTTGAAAAGCTACGCAGCCTTAAAATATTACATAAGTTGAAGTATGGTAAAATACCTGTTATGCCTGTTTGTTGTTCATATCCTTCTCTTGCTTCCAAGTTTAGGTATATGTACTCAGAAATGTCTGTGCTTTGGTCTTGCCAGTTGATATTTACAAGGGAAAGTATTAGAAAGCAATGTAAAAAATGTTATGTATGTATGTCTCTGTAAATGCATATTAGGTGCCAATTTAAAAAAAGCTTTGGCATGGTTCTAATGTGGCCATACTGAAGAAAACCTTAAACGGTTTGCACATTTATTAAGTACAGCAATGCGTTGTCTTTGGGAGTCTGAATCTGGTGGAATACAATTAGGGTAAATTTGAGAGTGAGCAAAAAAAGGCCATGAGGGCACTTGTCAGGCTCTCCTTTCATGGAGCCCTCTCTGCTGTGAACTAAAGATGGCTATGAATGGATGAGAAAATGCAGTGCACCGTTTGCATGCTTGGCCCTGCAAAGTATAGCAGAAAAGGTATAGCAATAAGCGCTCTCTGTTATAAATGAGCCCCTAAGAATTGCCAAAAAATTGCTAACTATTAATGCTTTAAGAATTTTTCATGTTTGTCATACACTTGTCTACGGGTAACCATTAAAGTTGTGGTATTGTGTGACAATTCACTTGTTGACTTGCATTGCAATAAGGTAGCCCATTAATATTGAATGAGCTGCCCAAGCACCACAAAGCATATAGTAATGGATCTGCACTTTTATTAAATGATACCCCAAAATGCACAGATGTTTAACATTTGTGTGTTGGGGTTCGCAATGCAGGTGCGTTAGGGTGCCTCTGAAAAAATATGGCCCAACAATGCAACCAACAGAACTGCGTTGTGGTAAAATGAGCACTGTATTGCAATGCATAATGTGAATAGGCCCTAAGAGTATTAACTAGAGATATGTGGTCTCCTTTCTACATTTTGGGAGAGACTGTAGACTTATGCAGGCCACATGTGTACCAATTTTTTAACTCTTAGTAATATGACTTTTACCTGCCATTTATACTTGATGTCATTTTCATTTGCGAAGTCACGCATTTTCATTCATAAACCCAAATGGCTCGCTTTGTTAAAACCCCCCGGCAAGAAACCAGAACCATGTTTCTCTAATATAAACATAATGTTTACGAGACCATCAATTTAAAAGAATTGCATACAAGTTGATTTGGTGATTCAGGAACTTTATTCTTTTGCAGGCTTGTCCCATAGCACTGCATTGTTGTAATGATACTTAATGTAGTTTTTCTTTCCTGGCTATGGGTCTATCGCTCTGCCCTCAGGACAACCTCCTCCTAAATCTAGAGATCCTCCACAGTATTCCTGGTCCTTGCAACAAAATACTAGGGAGGGAAACCACCAGGAAACTAAAATTTCAGTAAGTATATCCAAATTCTTTTCCTTTTTCCAGGTGCTTATCATGTCAGCCTACCATTTAATGTAGCTAGCAGAAGAAATGGCATAAAAGGAGAATACACCAACATTATTTGTCTATAGATTCGTAGAGAACTAAAGTTCTAAGAGTCTGAGAAGGGCCATAAGACACATCAAGCTTATAATGGCAGATGATGGTGTTCGGGGACCTTCGACTAGCAGCATTACAGATCACACCTTCCAAAATCATGGTGTAACATGCCCAGCCCATGATGACACCATTGCCCTTGTAGACTGTGCAGAGATTTCTTCCAGTGGGAAAGCCCTGAAGACTTGAATGTGTGTTGGATCATCTGAATTATCCCATGTAGAGATGATTCTAGGTGAAGCTGCTTGGTTCTTCCTATGCCTGTCTAAAAGAAGAGATTATCTGAATTTCTAAAGCATTACTTTCTCTGCTGTAATTTTGCCCATTCCTACTTGTGTGCACAAAGGCAGGTAGGATTGATTCTCAATGGACACAAAAAGGTAACACTAAGTTTGGAAGAAAAGCTGGAGAAAGGTGCAACACACTTCTGTCGTGATAGGTCTGGCAGTACAAAGATCCTAGATTTGCACTGCCGAGGTGATTGCACCAGAAGAGCACCACGTTGCCCCCTCAGGGGGTAGGTGCTGTGGGAGATGTTTCTGGATTTTTTTTTTTATACACCAGGAGGGAAAAAAAAAAATAGTGTATCCTGGTGTTGGACTTTAATATTTTTGTTAGGGGTCTTCTAAACACACAGTTATGTCTCGAACAGACATTTACTCTAGAAGGGTGACGGGACTTGCACTGCGTATAAGCTTCCATCAAAGACATCAAATGATAATGTTAACAGGTTGTAGTTAGTTGTTTTGCCATAACTCGAGTTTACCAAAGCTATTGTAAAATAGACAAAATATCAGATTGTTTTCCATATAGGCAGCCAAGTCGTACAATGTATTTGCATGCCAAGCTTTTTCTTAACACATTTGTTTTGGGTTTTTTTTTCGTTCGTTGTTCCAGGTGGTGGTTCATGAAAACTGAGAAGCAATGGCTCATGTAAGTCACATATGCATCCTTCTAGTGTCATCCTTCATTCTGTGGAGCGTTAGGAGTGACCCAGATACCAGTATCATGGAAAAGGGGAAGACCCAGCTGCTGACTCTTCAGAACTTTGCCCAGCACCCCCGCTATGGAGATTGCTGGCGTGGAGCCCTGCAGAGGGTGGATGTTGGCTGCAAGCAGCTGAATGAAGAGGAGCAGAGTCGTATAGCTCTGGCATTCACACACTGCCATCTAGAAAGGTTCGGACATGTACATTAAAGTGGACCTGTTGTTGCAATTCACAGACCTTTCATTCCCAAATCATAACTAAAAATTACCTTTTTTTTCATGAATACAAAAGTTTCCCATTGCATCTGCCTGGCAAGGCAGGTTAAATCCCATCTGGGTACCACTCATTACTGCAGAAGATCAAAATTGTACGCTAAAAACTGCACACAATGTAAAGAAACAAGGTTTTAAAGCTGAACTCTGGGATTAAAAACCCCAGGGGGCCCCACTGCAAGGATGGAATGCTTATTAAAGTTGAAGTGCTAATTGCTAGACTATATGCATCAGAAGAGACTATACAAATCTCTTCTGCCAAAAAATCTTCTTCCTAGCTGTCAGCAATTTTTGTTGTGTACGCTGAGCTGCGCATGCGCAGCTCAGCACACAGACCCGACATGCTGAGATTAGTTAACTCCTGTGTGCATGCGCAGGGGTTATCGGGACCCATAGGGCTGTCCCTATAGCGAGGCGGCCTGAGGTTTGCAGTGTGCCTGCCTCCCTCTTTTTGGCCAGAGCATCCCAGGTTGCAAAGAGCCGGGTGGGGATATGTGTAAAGGCCATATATTTCTACCCACCCAGCCCTTAGAAACCTGGCACGATTTAGCTGATGTTCCGCTCAGCTCCTGGCAACAAATTACATCACTGGTTGCCAGGAGGTGAGCTGGACACTCTGGCCGGCGTCCCAAAGCCCCTAACCCCCCTCCCCACCGCCTCAGGTGGAAAAAAGGCTAGGGGTGCCCCTGCGGGCTCGGCCAGTCAAGCGGTCGAACAATCAGAACCCGGAATAAGTCCAAGCCGAAGATGGAAGTGCGGAGAGGAGGGGGACTGCGCTGGAGGGGATCGGTTTGGCATGTAAGCCTTGCATAATGAAGGCGGATTTGACTTCGTCAGGGAAAATTAAGACATTCCTTTGTTTACTTTGAGACTTGCAGCATGCTTCACATCGCAACTGGATTTGGTTCTTTAGGTAACCCGCAGCTAACACCATTTAAGTTCCAGAACCGGCTTGCACTGTGATTGCATCCCAAACAAGCGTGCCACAGCCTATAGCAGGGGTAGCCAAACTCCGGCCCGCCAGCTGTGGTGAAACTACAAATCCCATGATGCATCTCTGTCCGGGAGTCGTGGCTGTGAGAATCTTGCAATGCCTCATGGGATTTGTAGTTCCACCACAGCTGGAGGCCCGGAGTTTGGCTATCCCTGGCCTATAGCAACCTAATCCAGAAACAACCGCACTCCAAGGGTCTTTACTGAAGATAAAAATCTTTATGGAGCAAATACATACTATTGGTTCCTCCCGACACGTGCTCAAGCTCTAACGTGTTTCACTATTCTGGCTTCAGCCAAATCAGTCTCGTTTCTCTTCCCTCAATATCGAGTTTTACAGAAAGAATCTTAAAACTACTATTCTAGTAAAGATATCTGATCTGTCCTTATGTAGTCTGCTTTTACAAGGCATATAATCCTTAATTCTTTCAGATCGGGAAGACACTACCCAGCCTGCACAGAACACAGCACTGTCCGCGAGTGTACACGTGGGATGGATTCGGTGGCATTTAACACATATACAGAGTTCTTTACCCATGCTCACAGTATTTGTTACTACCTCCAGAATGAGCTGTGGCAGGAGAGGGCCCAGGACATAATTCTCAGGTATGTGACCAAGCACTGTGTTCCGTTATGTTTGGGCCAAGTCATTCTACAGGATACAAACATACCTGTGAAGCCCTATCAATCATATTTATTGAAAGGGTTAGAACTAGATTGCTCTCCAGGAAAGACTAATTGATGGCCAAAAGTCTAACTTGGGGCCATTGTGAAAACCTGTGCGCTCCCCTAACTTTACAAGGTGGCTGTACGTCCAAAAAGTAGACACCCCCAGGAGTCTGCTCACTCTGTTACCTTTTGAAGTGCCCAGGAATCGCCAGAAACCCAACACTTTATTAGGCAATTACCAACCACAAAGTGTCCTGATCAATAACTGATGTCTTCCACCACTCTCTATCGGCTACTAAGACAGTATGGTTTGGGAAGCACTGGGCACTTGAGGTAGAAGATAAGGTGAGCCAATAGGTTTATTTTAACAACATTAAAAGTAAAGTTACCTCTAAGTTTAAGAGGATAGTCAGGTGTACAGGCATGACTCGGTTGCTCTCAGGCAGAAGCATAAGACAGCTGTATCGATAGACAAGCCCAGATTAACCAAACTTAAAGTCCATGGAGGAGAATGTGGTGTTTGAGAGGACTGCTATCTGTTCCTGGGGTCCATCAAGAGATGCAGGAATTCAGTTACTGTCAGGTTGTATGGTGTTCTACTGAAACATTGGACACTGGCAAACAAAATTGTCCCGAGGGCAGACATCTAACCTTGCGAGTTTTACCATGAACCTATAATCCGAAATCACCTGCACTCCATACAGCGTACAGACCTTGGATGAGAGGTTGGTGCTTGAAGTGACAACACAGATGGCACCGTGTCAGATACAGTCCATAATAGAAGTCACCAGCACTCGATTATATGTGCAAGAAGTAAAGCACTTTTTATTAAATCGTCACATGCGTCAAACAGCCCAGAAGAAGGGACCCTGCGTGGCCCCGAAAAGTTGGCTGTTTGACGCATGTGACGATTTAATAAAAAGTGCTTTACTTCTTGCACATATAATCGAGTGCTGGTGACTTCTATTATGGACTTTACCATGAACCAGCTGGAACACAACAGCCTTCAGGTGTGAAGTGACTCGTGAGTCCACCAGAGATCTAGGGAATTCAATTCCACAAAGTTAACATGTCTGAAGAGGGAGGGTGCATAGGAGGCATGCCTGAAAAGGTAGGCAGGAGATAGAAGTCAGACCTTGGTTCCAGGCTAGTGAGATGGTATCAACAAGAGCTGAGGATGAAGGAGATACTTGCAAGCAGGAAAATAGTGTGTTCCTCCTGCCAACAATCTGGGGAGACATGGGCCCTCCACTGATGACCTTCGCCTGCCACACAGATTCTGAGGTGCACCTAGATGTGTAACCTTGACTTCCAGATCCAGAGGCTACCAGTTGAGCTAAACCATTGCAGGGATCAGTACAAGTTAGACTGAGTATTAGGCTATTATCCAGCGCAGGATTGAAGCTACCTCTCCTGACACAGAAAAGCCTCCTATTCCTTCTTGGTGGTGAAGGCACAGCAGCACCTAAATGTTGTTCCAATGGAGTCAGAATCAGAAAACCTGTCTGAGGTGGGATCCACCGTGGTAGAAGGAACCACCTGTTTCGGAAGATCCGAAAACAACCCTGGCCACAAATAAAGATTCTCCAACAAGAGAAACACCCCAGATATGGGCAGAAGAAACCTTACCAGCTGCCTAATGGAGAGGCTGAGTGATCACACCAGGAATTACCTGATCTATAGAGATGCACAGCAGGCTGCTTAGAACCTAGACCCACAAAAAAGAAAAGAAAAAAGACTTCCATCCTCTTAGGACATTAGTCCAAAAACTGGGGCATGCTCCGTAGAGAAACTGTAATCCAGGGCTGGCCTACATTATTTTGTTTTTGTTTTGTTTGCCAGTGTCCAATTCTTCTGTAGGTGACAGCATAACCTAACATCTTCTGAATTCCTGTGTACCTCAATGGACAAGAAAAGAATTGGGTTTCTTCTCTGTCCCAAAATGTTTGCAATTACTGGCATTTCTGTCACCAAAGGAGTAGTGAAATAACATCTGTGTAACAATGTGATGGTGTAAATAGTATATTTCTCTCTACTATATGGGCATATTCTCTCACTGTAGGCTGACCGTCAACTCCGACAGTGTAGCTCGCCAGCTGGAAGCTACAAATGTAATGGCTGAAGAAATGATGCAGGCACAAAGTGCAACCCTAGAGACTCAGGAGGAAATCTTGCGCAACGGACACCTTCTGAAGCAAACACTGCAAGAATCTTCCACTGGTAAGTCGCTGAGTATAAAATGCACTTGCATACAAAACAATGGGGTTTCAGCAGGAGATGGAGGGAGATAATGGTCCTCATGAGCCTTGGGGTATGTTCGTATAGCTACATTGAGAGCCTCTCCATTGTGTCTACTTGTTTGCAATCCTCCGAAGATCAGTTGGCAAGGGCCATCCGAACACTCTGCAAATATAGAAACGGTGTAACCCAGAGGACTCCATAAATGGTGTGTATCAGCAGAACTGTCGGGAATCGCAATTACAATCTGCCGACTGTATATCGACTGATCACAATATTGCTACTTGTTATCAGTGATGTGACCAGTCCCACAAACCATGAAATGGAGGGGAATGGAGCTGGCACAGACTTTTAGAAACCCAGGGAAGGCTCCAAGTTTGAAAGTGAAAAGTGATGAGCAATTTGTCTTAAACCTTAACTGTCCTCAATACTGTATATACATACAGATGTGTCCAATCAACAGACACTCAAGCAATTCATTTAACCATTATTGTCTGGATAGCTAAATGACATTGCTTATTAATCAAACAGTTCTGCATGAAAATTTAGCATAACTGAATTGCGATTGACAGCAATCTGCCCTGTTGTAAACTGTTTCGCTGCAAGGCTCTTGAACGGCTAAGTTCAGCTCACAAAAACATAATGCCTGCAGAATTGTTACCACTAAGGCCGGATTCACATCTAAGCGTTAGCGGTTTCGCATGTAAAAATGTGTTGCGTGGTTTTACGCACGTATACATGCATATATTATGCGCATTTTTAGAAGCAGATTGTGATGCATTGAAGTCATTGGACAGAACGCGCATAAAAACACGCAAAACTTATTGTAATGCTTGTTTTTAAGCATTTCCTATTGAGTATATGGTTCCAAAACAAGCTAATGTACTTTTTCCGGTGACCGGCATTTTGCTTATTGCGACAAAACACAGAGGGGCCATATGAATGAATGGGATTTTATTGGTGAAGCTTTTGGTCAGGTTGAATCCGCTGCGACAATACGCTCATTGTGAACCAGGGCTAAGTCCCATCCCTTGTCAGAGGTGTCTCATGGCTGTTACAAACAGCTGCACTATAACTTTGCATATCATAAAAATGTATGAACTGCCATTACTACCCATGGAGAGAGACATTACAGTTTATACATGACCCCTGACTCTGATCAGCTCCTTAAAAGCACTTCTCTGTGCTTAGGGCCGGTGCTGCCACTAGGCAAACTAGGCAGCCGACTAGGGCACACTACTGCCTAGGGCGCAGCCTTGACTACACACCCCTCCTCCCCCATGGCACTCCCGCTGTCTATTTCAAATTGCAAAGCCATTAGCAGGCTGGCTATTGCGCCTGCCCACTGCGCAGAGGAGCAGAACTGAGATTCAGATTTGTCTGCGCCTCTGCTCAGTGGGTGGGGTTTCAATAGGCAGTCTGATATAGTCTTTTTCAAATTAAAATAGCCAGTAACAGTCTGGCTATTGCTCCCAGCTGCTTACATCCATCTGTCACCTGCAAACGCTAGGAGTGTGGAGCCGTACGGGGGGGATTGGGAGGCAGGGAGGCAGGCTGGGGGTGCAGGTAGCTGGTCTTGCCTAGGGTGCAAAATAGTCTAGCACCGGCCCTGCCTGCACATACAAGTCAAAACCTATTCGGCCTCAAATTGATCCTGTGAGTCGTAGAGGAGTATGGGAGACTTCCTACTTTGATAACAAATTAGATTTTTTTTTTCTTGGAGTGATAGTCCCTGACTGTAGGGCTTTTTTATGCAATGTATTTGGTGTTTTTGCCCACTGTAAAATTTCTTCTTTGTCCCTCAGGGGTGAGGCAAGCTTTTGAGGAAATGCAGCAGTCTGCCACCGAGCAGCGCGTGTTGTTCTCCGAAATCTTTAACCGCATCACTTACCTGCACCAGTTTGTTGTAGGGGAATCCAACACACTCTACTCCTTTCTGTACAACCTGGTGGGCTGTGCTGCTGCCTACTTGCTGACCTCCACTCAGAGGACTTCCGGTGCTAGGTATGTCCACATCCAAGACTGTATTTTCTTTATTTAATAGCAGAGGAGAAAGGGAGAAAAAAGTGTCTCTCAGTGGTGAAATGGGTAATATAGTTGAGTGAACTTTGCACACTGTTCTCCTTCCACTCCACCAGTCCATTCCATGGGAAATCACCATTTAAATATATTTCCCCCAGTAGTCTTTCAGGACAGCCTCCGAGAGTGTGTAACTCCTCCTCCTCCTCCAGACATGTCACCCAATTTTAGAATAAAGGTTTGCCTCCAGCATAACCCCTCAGTAATTGTGTTTCCTTGGTCTGGAGGAAAGATGTCATCCAGGAGCTTACATATTTTAGAAAACTAGACTTGGTGAGTTTTGCCCCAATACCCCTCCTATGGCTTCAAGTGACGGACGAGGTCCTGCTCCTCTTCCTCCTTGGTACCTGGTGAGGGTCAGTACCGGAGAGGGGGCTGGTTGCTAAAACTGCCGATTGAAGGCTGTGCAGAAAAATGTTCCGGCGTGCGGCCAGCACTTGACCGAGTGGCGGGTGGCGTCACTTCCGGTAGGCAAATCATCATTTACAGGCGCCGGAGGCCTGCGCTCCATGCCTCATTTTGGCACAGGGGAAGAGGAGAGGCAACAGCGGCACTGTATTTCAGCATGGGTCTTCAGGAAGCCTATAGACATGCTAGTGGAGGCAGCAGCAGCATGGAGACTTCTCAGCCAACTGCTCCAGTAGATGCAGCCACATCGGGTGCTGCTTCTGTTCAGGTAAGGCAGCGCTTACATATGCCTATTACTGACTGTATTACTGCATGTTCACTGAGGACTCTTTGGTGGTGGGTCCTTGCTGTGGATTGCATAGGTGGACTCTGGTGGGCAGGCCTTTGAATTGTTTGTGTTTTTGTTTTTTTTTTGTTTTTTTTCTCAGGCTAAAACCTCGGACAGGGGTAAAACTTTGCCTAGAAAGAAATGTGCAGTATGTGGGACTAAGCTGAATGTTTCCTCTTCAAAGCCTTTATGTCAGAATTGCATTAGTGGATTGATTAGGGAGGAATCTGCAACAGCATGTAGTAATCTGTTGACCTCCGTGAAAGAAGAGCTGGCCTCCACAATTCATTCATATCTTTTAGACTATGAAAAAGCCTACAGAGTCAATTTCTGTGTCTACAATCCCAGTCCCCTTGATGCCTCACCAGGAATCTCTTAAACCATCAGGTTTGGAAGAGGGCAGTGATTTGGGTCAATCCTATGAAGATCGATCCTCACAGGAGAATAATGTTCAGGATAAAACGGCTTCTGTGTCGAGGCGCGGAGACATTTCTCAAGGTCTGCTTTGGGCTTTTCCCATTTCAATAACGCTGACAACGGACACCAGCTTATGGGGCTGGGGGGCTCATATCCAAAGTTTTTTTATTCAGGGCCAGTGGACAAAGAAGGAAAAATCTTCGGCCAACTGGGAAGACCTAAGAGCGATTCTCAGTGCTCTCCTCTATTTCCACGATGTCCTGTGAGGACATCACCTTCTGGTTCTTTCAGACAATGTAGCAGCAGTAGCCATACACAACAGACAGGGGGAAACCAGAAGTGCCTGTCTTCAGTTATAGGCAAAATAAATATTTTTGTTGGGAGAGAAGAATTTGGCCTCCATTTCGGCGATTCACCTGATTTTTTTTTTTGAGCAGACACAGGATTTTGCAGGACAAATGGAGCCTACGTCAGGAGGTTTACAAAATCCTGGTGGAGAAATGGGGGAGTCCAGAAGTGGATCTCTTCGCATCGGAGAAGAATGCCAATGTAAAGAAATTATTTTCCCTCAATGGCTTAGACGGGGCTTTGCCACTGGACGCATTATCCAACATGTGGCAGTTCAATCTTTGTTATGCGTTCCCACCAATCTACCTAATTCCAAGGGTTCTTCAAAAGTTTTAACTGGAGCAGACAAGTCTGATCCTCATAGCACCCTTCTGGCCAAAAAGGGCTTGGTTCACCCTCTTGCAGTCTTTGTGTGTCCACCTTGGAGGTTCAGTCAGAGGGGATCTCCTGTCTCAGGGGCCAGTCCTGCACCCAGGAACTCAGAACCTGAAACTAACCGCATAGTTTCTGAAGAGGACATATTAAAATCTAAAGAGATTTTGAACAAGGTCATTCAAACCTTACTTAATAGCTGCAAACCAGTCACTAGAGCTATTTACAGAAAGGTGTGGAAAAAGTTTTTCATGGTCTAGGACAGCCAATGCTGTAGAGATTATTCCATTCCATCTATATTAGATTTTTTACAGGGAGGAGCAGACTAAGTAATTGCTTTGAGTACACTTAAGGTGCAAGTAGCAGCTCTAAGTATCTACTTACAGACTTCGCTTGTAAAACGAGCCACTTTTTGCTAGATTTTTCAGAGCAATTAAGAGAATTGCCTCAATGGGATTTGCCATTGGTTTTACAGGGGTTGTAAAAAATACCTTTTGGACCTATAAAAGAAATTTAAATGTGGTCCATTTCAATCAAAATGGCTTTATTGAAAGCAGTTAAGTCTGCTAGAAGAATTAGCTTTAGGCTTCATCAATTCAGGAACCTTTTCTCTCGATATTTGACAATAGAAGCATTTTCTCAGGACTGATCCAGGGTTTTTACCAAAAATTGTATCCAACTTCCATAGGACCCAAGACATTGTCCTTCCAACCTTCAGTAACAAGCCATCTAATGACAAAGAAAAATTGTTTCACTGTCTAGATGTTAGACATTGTTTACTGGCCTACTTAGAAGCAACAAGCTCATTCAGGAATTTGCAGGCTTTGTCTTGTTTTCAGGTAATACAAAAGGAAAGAAAACGCCTTAGACTGGGTTCACACCTGAGCGTTCCTAATATGCGCGTATGACACGCGTTTCCGGCCACGCATTTTTACAGAGATTTGTGGTCCACGAAACACGCGTCAAACACGCGTTTACGAGAGCTATCCGGCTGTATCCTAATGGATATGTGCGGAAATGCGCCCCAAAAGAAGCTCCTGTACTTGTTTGGGCGTAGGGCGTTTTTCAGCGCGTATCGACGCGCTGATATACGCCAAGGTGGGAACCATGCCCATAGGAAATTATGTGATTTCACTTGCTGAGCGTTTTTCAGCGCTTCGATCAGTGAACCCAGCCTAAGTCCCCATTCACACTTGGCGATTCGCAAATCGCGCGATTTGCATTTTGCACGATTTGTCGCGCGATATCGCGCAAATGCTTGCATTGAGCAAGCTTGAATCGCGGCTAAATCCGCTCCAAAAAGGGTCCTGCTGTAGCGACACACGACCCGCGACAGCAGGACCCTTTGCCCCATTGACAAGCATTGGAGAGCGATATCGCGTGGTAAATTGCCGCAATATCGCGGGAATTACCGCACGATAAATCGCTCAATGTGAACGGGGCCTAAAGGTTCCACAGCTAGACCAGGTAGCAGCCTTACATATCTGTTCAGGCGTAGCTCCAGCTCTTTCAGCCCATGAGGCTGCTGTAGATCTTGTAGAATGTGCATTCAGGAAAACTGGCAGAGTCATTTTCATAGCCAAGTAGGTTTCTGCTATAGCTAATTTTATCCACCTTGCAATAGAAGACTAAGGCTGGGTTCACACCTGGGCGTTTTTCAGCGCTGAAAAACGCTCAGCAAGTGAAATCCCATAATTTCCTATGGGCATGGTTCCCACCTTGGCGTATTTCAGCGCATCGAAACGCGCTGAAAAACACCCTACACCCAAACAAGTACAGAAGCTTCTTTTGGGGCGCATTTCCGCGCATATCCATTAGGATACAGCCAGATAGCTCTCGCAAATGCGTGTTTGATGCGCGTTTCATTGGACCGCAAATCGCTGTAAAAATGCGTGTCATACACGCATATTAGGAACGCCCAGGTGTGAACCCAGTTTTATAAGGCATTGTCGCTTGGATCTTTTATCCAGCAAAGCGTTCGGAAGAAAGGTATTACAGGCTGTGGTCCATCCCTAAGTATGGTAATTTCTTATCCTCTCGGAGGCTGTCCTGGAAGACGACTGAGGGAGTTACACTTACCGGTAATGTTTTATAGTAGTCTTCCAGGACAGTCGACTTCCCACCCTTTTATTATATGTGAAGATTTTTTACAGTTTTGTGGTGGTGTTGTCTTTATATTTTCCAGTACAGACCTCTGGTTCTCATGATTACTGAGGGGTTATGGTGGAGGCAAGCCTTTTATCTAAAATTGGGTGACTTGTATCCTGTCTGGAGGAGGAGTTACACACTCTTGGAGCTGGAGGCTGTCCTGGAAGACTACAGGAAAAAAGAGTTACCGGTAAGTCTAACTCCGGTTTTCTCTGTTGCTGGCTGTATGTGTTTCTAATATGATGATCTTCCACAGACTGGCCCTGTTTACCCTTGTTGCTGCTAATGTCTATGCGGAGAGGATGATCTGCTCCTATATGTTGGGCAATACTCAGCCTAGTTATGATCAGACGGTGAGGAACCTTTCTGTTTTGTTCTTAACATATCAGATTCCATTTTATTGTGGATTACCAGATAAAATAAGTGGCTATCGTGGGCAGTAAAATGTAATCAGTCTGAAATAATAACCTTTTCATGATGGAAAGCTGGTGGTAGCTATTGATGACCACCGCTGAAAATACTAGCTGGCTGCTGTGCAGATCCACTGGCTTCAATACTTTGCGTCACCGACCTAGAAAGTCTGGAAAGCAATGACGATCACCAGCACTCAACAGAACATTTTTAAACTTCTTGTGTGCATTTATTGCAGAAGTCCGTCACATGAAAAACCAATGTTTCGGGGCCACGCAGGGTCCCTTCATCAGGGTGACATAGTGACAATGTCACCTGATGAAGGGACCCTGCGTGGCCCCGAAACGTTTGTTTTGTATGTGACCCACTTCTGCAATAATTGAACACAAGAAGTTTAAAAATGTTCTGTTGAGTGCTGGTGATCTTCATTGCTTTCCAGACTTGATACCGTGCTGCGCCATCTGTGATCTATCACTGAAAGCACTGCATTTATCACGGTCCTTAATGCTGTAAGGAGTGCAGGGGATGCATTTGGACGCTGTACCATCCTAGAAAGAGGTATGCAGCCTCCAAATTTCTCTTAGGAAAGGTTTCCTTTACAGCCCAACTCTAACCTTGTACTAACGTTACAAGAATAAGTAGGCCAGCATGTTTAAAAATAAAATAAACCAGATCTTGCTGTAATATTCACCACTCTCTAACACAGTCCCTGCAGACTTGCTGCTTAGTCCACAGTTTGTCCGTAGTTACTCCCAATGCTACTTCCATAACTGCTATTACAGCCATATAATTTCAAGGAATAATTCCTTCATCCGACCTTTAACTGCTGTATTAGGAATCACTGTTTATGTGGCTTTGGAATCTGGTTTTCTCCTCTCCTTGTGTGTTTTTAAAGGAATTGTAGTCTTTAATGTGGAGTGCATTTGTGGTTTTTCTTTTTTTTTTCTTGTATTTCTTTTTATTTATTTATTAATGAATACATTTAAGGACCAGATGCTTTACTAGGATCTGAGATATTTGCGCATCACTCCACTGCTTTCTTCTGTTTTCCCAGGACAGTGTCGCCTTCTTGGTTGGAATATCTCGCAAGGTCTCCATTGCAATTGGGCTATTGGTTATACTTTACTTCTCTGTGACCCACCGTGATCTACATCGACAGAGTCTTGAGGTGCTTCAGGGGCTGCAGGAGACAAAAGAAGAACTACAGACTATTATACGGGAGGCAGGTATATATTTTACCTCATTTAAACTGGTTTATTATTCTAATACAAGCTACTTGGATTGTGAAATAAAGTTTCTCTTGAAGGATTCAAGGGAAAATGCACAATGTGCTGTAACACTGAGAATGTGCGTTGGGTTGACTTTTAGAATGAATTTCACCGGAACCAATGCTCATAACTGTGCATTTTGGTTACACACACGTAGTAATGTGAGCCTTAGCATGCCGAAAGGGTGTGAAAGGGCCCTAAAGGGTAGATCTGTCTAGTTTTTGCCTCCTGCCACCTCAAAGCAGAGATTCCTATTGTCACCTGAATAGTTAGGTATGACCATTGATCTTACACACCAAGCAAAACATTTTCTAATTCTGTTGGTAGAGTTCGGAAGGGTTAGAACCTCTTAGATTTTGGCTATTGTCGGTTTCCACTGATTGAAGTCCTTGGGGGAAAAAAGTGCTGGGAGATCACCCAGGCTAACCCTTCTTTGTCTAATATGAATGCTGCTGCCACACCTGTTCACCTTTCCACCTGCTATATAGCCTCCAACTCTCTCTGCCAATCCTTCCACTGGCCAAAAGAATAGAATGTATAATACTAACAACATAGAAAGTCATCAGCTACATCACCAGTCTTCTCTCAAAATATCAACCAAACCAGCCTCTCTGCTCCTCAGCTGTTTGGTTTCCTCATCTCCTTTCATGTTTGCCTCTCCCATCCTCTGGAACTCCCCCAATCTGTCTGTCTGATTCTGTATGTTTCCCCCAGAAAGGGCTTAATAGAGATTGCATGTCAATGAGTGAAGGCTTCCTTTGGTATTGGGAGGAAATGATGGGCAGCAATTAGTAGGATCCTGTAACACCCCACAGGTATGTATATAGGATCTCAGCCGCGGAGGTGTGTATATTACGTGGAAGGGGGCAATCTGTCTCCTATAGTGAATGTCCTTTTGGAAACGGTTATTCAGTGATCAATTCCTTGGATGCACTCTCCATATAATTCAAAGGAGAGTTTGGAATTGTTTAACATCATACACCGTCACATATAGGGGTATTGGTAGGGTGCGTCCCAGGGGGGATATTACCTCATACACCCAGTGGCACATGCGTAGTACAGAACTGATATTTCCGGTGCAATTCAATGGTTAATAACTGAGAACAACATAAGCATGATCTTAATAACAAACAAGGTTCACGCCTACAAGCATGCAATGTGGACTGAAACAATAGCAGTGTATATCCTGATCCAGGAACATGAAATTCGGGACTAAGTTACTGAGAGTACTGAGGGACAGAGAGCATGATTCAGATTAGAATATAGCGATGGCTATTTTGTAGTAAAGAATCCATACTACTATGGTGTTATGTTCATGTAATTGTATGCTACCATTGAGGATACGGTGGAAATGATTATAGTTTGCAATCGACATAAGCTTCACCGTTCAATGCAACTACATACAATTCTGGCATCAGGTATTAGGATCATGCACAGAAGTCCGCACACTAATACATGACACTGGTAGGGGGTACATGGGGGTGCAGGCTTGCACATACAGCAACAAGATTGTAGGAGATATCCCAAAAACTACAGGAACAAAGGAACAATCCATAGAGTATAGTATGCTACTTGGGATTAGAGGAGGACCATCCACTGGAGCAAGGACTGGGAGTATGATGACAGCAGCTTGATAGTGACGTGACAGAGGCAGAGTGTATCAGTTTTGGCAGTGAGCAATTGGAGAGGCAGAGACAGCAGCTCCAGGTGGCAGAAGAAACTCCCCATAAATCAGTCCTTCTTAGGAGATCTCAGTGTCCAAGACTGTGAGTACAGGGAAGTACCACAGAGGGTGATTGCTTGGCATTCACAATAATAGTAGGATGCTGAGCAATCGAAAACCCAGCGGTTTTATTCTGACAGCTGGTAGGGGTGGGGGGAGTGGCACAACGCAACCTATGTGTGAGGCTACGGACTCGAGCGTCCTGAGGTAAGTCTATTACAGACCCAGACGTCTCCCTCACTAGCTATCAAGTAAACTAACAAAAGATTGTGAAAACCTCACCATTACACCTACTAAATGTAAAAAATATGTGGACACCCCACCATCATACGGTGTTCAAGTGTTTTTATTGAAGGGTGCGGTTATTGGTACAGCCTACAGACATTTTAGATGATTTTGTGCTTCCAGCCTTACAGGGACACTTGGGAAGGGCCCTTTTCTGTTTCAGCGTGGCTGTGCCCTGTGCACAAAATCTTCTCCATACAACACATGGTTTGATCAGTATAATGTGGATGAACTACAGTGATCTGCACAGACCTCTGACCTCAATCCTACTGCACACCTTATGGATGAGTTGGAATGGCAGTTGCAAGCCAGGTCTTGTCGTCCAACCTCCTCACACATGCCTCTTGGTTGGATGGTCACAAATTTTCTGGGAGCGGGTCCATATAAATCCCCATAGTTTTGTAATGGGATATCCAACAAGCTTCTGCAGGGGTCATAGGTGCCCATAAACTTTTACCAAGCAGAGTATTTCAATGGTGCCATGGTTGGGTGCATGAGGTTTATAGCAAAGGCAGACCCACGGAGCTTTGGAGCTAAAGCTAAAGGTTTAGCTTTAGCTCCACTTTAACTGTCCCGTTTCCATGAAGAGTTGGTAAAAGATTTAGATCTGTCTACAGCTGTTTACTTGTAAATAAATGACTGGTTCATTCTGAGGTCTTTGTGTGCCATTATGAAATTAAGAATGATTCCATCATAGAAACAGCTTGTTGTGCATTGTGTCCTCTGCAGAGAAGTTGTTGAACAAACCAGAGCATTTTGCAGACCAGATAAAAGATGCGTTTGTGGATTCTGGGATTCCAGAGCCTTCATTTCTCAATGAATGCCCAGTGCAGAACAGTGTACTGGATTCACTAAGCAGTTTAAATTATGGTGAGTTGTGGCTAAATGCTATTCTATTCTTCTGTCATGATATGAAACCTGGTTATGAACTTCTATTTTGCTTAGACACACCAACAATACACAGATACTTACTATTGCCATGAGATCAACATTGTAGATGTAAAAACCATTTGAACTTTTCTTTTACCTGTAGGGCTAAATATTATGATTTTGAATTCCTTTTCACTAGAAATGCCTTACAATGTTGCATCCCCTATCTAACTCACAGCTAGTTTAAGAGACTGTTGATGGGCTTTGGGCTTGTGTAGATGGCATCGGTTTGAGACACTTCTGAATGCATTTGACCTGCAGTTAACGTTCTGGTGACCTGCATTTGTCCTGCTTTAAGTGGGTTTTGCGTTCTCAGACCTGTATGAAAACCTCCCAACAGTCTCTCGGTTTCCACGGAAATGTCCTGGGATATAAACAAAATCTTGGTGTCCTGTGTATCCTGGCCTGTTTCCCTACTGCTGGCCAGGGGCTGGAATGTTTATTCAAGCACCCAGATTTTGCCCCTTTGAGGCTTTGTCGGGCAGAGTAATCTCCTGCCTAACATGAGTACTATAGTTCTGGCAGAAGTAGACAGCAGTGGCGGGCAGTTCCATCCCAGAGCCTCCTGGGTTTCCTTCCTTTAGAGAGGCCCATGGGCCCCCATACACCCTGGTCTCATTTGTGGATGTTCCGAAGTTATTGGAACTCTTATCTGGCATTTGTATTATTTTGCTGGGACTGTAATCTATCAATAAAAAAATGTTTGTGTTAGAAGTCCTCTACACTTTCTTCTCTTCTTCCTGCCTGGTGTATTTCTGGCAGCGCAGTCTACACCTTACTTTTGCTTCCATCATCGCAGTGAACTGTAGAGGCCCCAGAGGGCTCTTTAGTACTCGATCAGCAATAAAATATCCTCCATACCTTCTGTAGCCTGCCACACATACCATGTAGGAACCAGCAGACCCTCACCCCTTAATGAGCAGCTCGCTGGGCTCCCTAAACTGTGCCCTCTTGCATTCATTAGGTCTTCTATTGGCTTCCACAGCTTCAGCCTCCTGCTCTCTGCTCCCTACAGGCTGCAGAGAGCCCCATATATGTCCCCTCATT